TTGATTCTAACTCATGGTGACCCCTTGTGTGTCAGAGTAGAATGCTTCATAGAGTTTTCAAGGCTGTGCCCTTTTGGAAGCAGATTACCAGGCCTGTCTTCTGAGGCAACTTTGGGTGGGTTCCAACCTTTCAGCTAGTAGTCAAGTGCTTAACAGTTTGCGCCAGCCACCAACTCCATAACACATATAAATGTAATATATTTGCCAATAACAGCACAAATGGGATGGGTGGGAGCAAAGCTGTATTGAGCTAAGGAAATGACTACAGATTGTAAAGTAATAATCCTAACAATGTATTGCTGGGTTTGCAGCGTTAACAGATGTAATATGTGTAACAATAATACCACAAAAAGAGGGAAAAGGGAATAGAGCCTGGCAGCCCAGAAGGTTCCTTACTGGTGCCACCCTGACAGACCCACACCCTCCTGGGGTCAGCAGCTTTGATCCTCTTTGGAATGGAGTAGGATAGCTCATCCATTTTGATATGCTCAGATGAGGGCCTCCCCACAGCAGAGCTGCTTGGGTCCAGGATCTAGGGTCAGTGAGACACTTCTTCCATCCTTGCAGGCACCCTTTACTCTCTCCTGTGGGCTGGGGTGTCAGGTCAGAACCTTGCTGTGCCCAGAATCACCCTCTCTGTCTTCAAGCCCAGCTGCTGGGCCAACTCCGAGCATGAGGCTTCTTCTCTCTCCAGGATCTCAGCCTCACCCTGCAATCTGGCTTCTGAGGACACCTATCCCCTTCTCAGACATGTCTACAGATGTCTGAAGCCCAATAGTGGACCAGATGGGATTTTGATTGCTCCAAAAACACCAGAGGATGTCAAAACATACTCAGGGGAGAGGAGTCACTTATTGCTACATGTCAGATCTCAGATCTGGCCTAGCCAAGGCTCTTTCCACAAATCATCATCATCATCATTCCCAGTGTATAGGTAATGAAACTGAGACCCAGAATAGAGAAATGATGGGGGAGGGCCTTGGACCATGGCTTCCCTGAGACTCTTAGTGAGGTCCAGGGACCCCCAGAGGGCACTCAGCCTACCCTTCAGAAAATCACGGGGCTCCATTCCTGGAGAGCCACAGGCCACAGATGTATTTGCAGGTGGAGGAGGCCCACACTAAAATTTGAATGACACCCCCTAAACATCTCCTAATTCTTTGAGTTGTAGTTAGGGAGCCATATGATTTTTTTCAGATGGAGCAACTGGAGTCTGTATCCATACCTATACCAGGGAGCATTTACTGAGCATTTGCTGTGTGCCTGGCACTATTCTAGGCATTTTACAGCTAATTATCTTTCAAGATCACACACAGCTGCCTTATGAAGTGGGGGAGGGGATTGCCATCATCATCCCATTTTATAGATGGGAAAACTGAGGCACAAAGAGGCTAAAAAACTTGTTCAAAGTACACATCCAGTCAATTGAGAAAGTGGATTGAAACCTGCAGTTCAATGGATCGCTTTTGTGTGGCCTTTCTAGCCATGGTCTTGTAACTCCCACCCGAGTGACTGGGTGGAACTGTGCGAATAAGGCAATTGTGGCCCACCAAGGAGATTGGTCAGTTTTGCCTTAAGAGAGTGCCAATTCCAGAGCAGAGAGAGGAAGCACCAAGGAAGCAGAGCCAGCATGTCTCTTGGGCCCTGGATCCCTGCACTGAGAACATCCTGGAACCAGGAGACCGAGAGACAGAGAGCTATAACATGGAAGACAATGAGAAGTGGTGGCAGGTGGCAGAGAAACGACAGCAGGAGAGACTGGTGCAGTGGGCGGAGCGAGAAAGCTGAGCGCCTTTGGGCAGGAGGCTTGCTGGAGGAGTAGGGTGCCTCCAGGCACTTGGTGGAGCCAGGTTTGCCGACCCAAGAAGCCAGAGCTGAGCGCCTTTGGGCCAAGGCTTACTGGCAGAGCGAGGTGACTCTGGGCACTTATTGGCAGAGCTAAAAGAGCTTTGTAACGCTTGCCCCTGAGCAGGGCAGAGGCTGAGGGGCCAGAGAGAGATATGCTTTCAGTGTGGCTGGAAAGAGGCTGTCCTGATGGAAAAACTGTATTCTGAGTGTTCCTGAACATGAATTGTAACCTGTTACTTCCCTAATAAATCCCATAATCGTGAGTATTGTCTGTGAATTCTGTGTTGCCATTGCAGTGAATTATCGAACCTAGCAGCAAAGTAGAGAATGCTGTGGTGGGGATGGTTGTTGTCAGAATTGGTAAAGATGGCATGTCTGACCTCCGCCTCGTAGGAATCAGCCTTGGGTTGTTGATCTTGATTCTTCTTCCCCCTTGTGAAGTTAGAGGAGGTCAGACACCGCCCCTACATCATTGAGGAGTTTGGAATTAGTGTGTACACCCTTTTCTCTGTCTAATGAGAGCATATGCTAGCACCTTGTGTCTGGGCCTAGGTGTGCATAGCTGATCCTGCAGCACCCCCTGGTGCTCACATCACTCACACCGCTCACATGGCCCTTTCCTGTGACTGCCATAGAGAGGCTCCCTGGGTCTACCAGTCCCCATTCTGCAGAGCCAGCTCAGCTGAGACTGTGGGTGCCCCTGGTTTCCTCCCCTCAGGTCTGTGTGACTTCTGGGCCCTCAAGGCAAGACCACCAGTCAGTTTAGGTCACCTGACAGGCAGGGGCAGTGGCCTAGGGAAGAGAGACCAGAGAGGCAAGAGGAGTGGAATCCCAGGAGCATCTACCTTACATAAGTGCCCATCCCAGCTGCCGGGGGCGATGCCAGACCATTCCCTCCCCTGTGTAGATAGAATCCTAGAACCTGGGAGATGGGGTAGGGGAGGCTGGCAGTGGGCCAGGGCTGAGGCCTTACCAGTAGGTCATCCACCCTCTCCAGGGCCAATGGTGACATCAAAGTAGACAATGCCCCCCTCCCCCCGCAATGGCTGCTAGGCTTTGGGAGCCTACATTGATGAATATAGTGCACTCTCAGGCCTAGAGGAAGAGACCTCTTTGCCCATTCAGCATAGCCAAAATCAGGCCCTTGACTCCCAGTTCCATCCTGCTCACCTTCAGGCTACCCTGGGGAGTCTTCCTTCCCCTTACCTTTGTGTCCCTCAGTCACCAGGTTTGTCTGTGGACTCCTAATCTAGAGCCCACCCATGACTCTCCATCTACCTGGAAGCCTGCACTGACCCCCTTCCTGTTCTCCCTACCCCCGCTCTCACTGTCCTAACCACCTTCCACTTCGCAAATCTGATCATGTCACCCCTTGGTTAGAACTATTCCACGGCTCTCCATTACTTTCAAGTTCATGCCCCCCATCACAGTCCACAGGCCCCTCATAGACTGTCTCTGCTGACCTCTCCAGCCTTACAGAACTATGTTCCTACAATACATCTCAACCTCCGGGCCTTTTCTCCTGCTGTTCCCTCTGCCAGGAACACCCCTTCCCGCCACCCTTCTGGTTTACTGCTCTGGCCTGCATATTTGGGTAACCTCTGCTTGTCCTTCAGGTCTCAGCTTAAATGTCCCTCCTCTGTCCCCCCAAGTCTGGATTGGTCTATTCTGTGTTCCCATAGCCCTTCATATCTAGAGAAACATACTGTTATTAGGACCTGTTTACTTTTCCGTCTCTCTACCAGCTTGTGGGGACAGGAACAGGTTTTGATGGAGGGTCTGTTCATACTAGATGAGAACAGAAGGTCTTCAATGCCAGGTAAAGAACTCGAACTTGTCCTAAGGGTGACAGAAAGTTGCTGGGAGCTTTGGAGCAGCAGAGTAACATAGTACAGATCCCCTCTGGCACTGTATTTGCCCAGGCTGGCCTTCCCAGAACAGAACTGGTCCCAGTTGTGAGCGGTTTTTGGGTCACCATCAGCAGCCAAGAACTGAGTCTGACTAAGGAATGGTATATGTGGGATTGGAGCTGATGGAATGGGATAATAGGAGCAGGAGAAATCATTGTGATACGTATTAAAATCCAGATGTTTCAAGGGAACAGTGCATTGATCCTCAAAAGAAGAAATGCTTGTCCCCACTCTGAAAACCTTTTGTAGCCTGAGTGCGTAGGCCCTTCTTTTCTCTGTGACAACAACCTGACTGATGCACTAGTCCAGACATCTTCTCCCACCTGCACTCCTGTGTCCTGGTGTGCACTCTGGGAATGTGCTAAGCTACCCCAGAAGTTGGCCCCTCCCAGCTGGCAGGAAAGGGAAGAGGCCAGTTAAGCCCTGAAGTGTTAAGGCACTAGGGCTGGGAAGCTCATAGCCTAGGTCCTAAGGGCTATGTCTGGTGAGTGTGGCCCTGCTGGATTCTGCTCTGTCTTGTGGAGGTCCAAGGCTGGGCAGAACAGAGAAGGAGACTTGTGGGCCTATGACCCTCGCCCATCCCTAGTCTAAGGTCTCTGGGAGCTGAGCTCTGTTCTAGACTGGAACCCCCTGATGCTCCAGGACTCCCTGAACCCTCTGCCTTCAGAGTCCACCATTCAGGCTTTGATACCTGAAAGGCCTGGGTGTTCAAGTCCAGCAGCCACCATTCACATACTCTGTCTGTCTTTCACTCACTCACCAAACATGCCCTGACTCCAGGTCTTGCCCAGTCCTGGTGTGGATGACACAGAGTAGGGTCACCCTGATTCCCACTCTCAGAGAGCTCCTCAGAGTCAGAGAGAGACACAGACACAGACAGTGCTAGTCTAGGGTAGTCTGTGCTATAATAAACACAGACTTGGGACCAGGCAGCCCAGAGAAGGCAGAGAAGGCTTCCCGGAGGAGGGGATGCTTAAGGAGAGCCTGAAAATGAGCTTGAACTTGTCATGAAACAAGTGGGAAAGGCACTCCAGAGAGAGGGAGGAGCTTGTGCAAAGGCCTAGGGGTGGAAAGCAGCCTGGTGACATTTGAACAGAGAATACAACATCAGTCTTGGAGGGGCTGATGCTTAAGGGACATGACCCTGTAGCAGCCTGGATTGACGTCTCCAGAAGGAGAATGTCTTGCTGAGACTCTGCCACCCTTTCCGATGGCCCCAGCCAAGCAGGCCCAGGCCCTGTCTCAGAGCTCCTCCTGGGCCTTCCTGCCCTTCTGCTTCTGCTGCCACTGTCGGATCTTAGTGGGGAGTGTCTCTGCCCAGAACTTCATCTGGGCTTCCCTTAGCTTCTGGCCGACCCATGGCACTGGGCTGACCTCCAGGTATTGCTCCAATTGGTTGAAGAGGGGCCAGTAAGGCAGCCCCTCACCATTGGGGTCCCTGGAAGGGAAGAATGAATGAGGGCCAAGGTCTCCTGTGAGGTCCCCCTTGTGGCAGACCCTGAGTGACCCAGGTATAAGGCCAGTTATGTCACTCACTCTTACCCTGTCCTAGCGAATTGTGTCCACTGGGCCATTATGGTAAGTCTCAGATACTTTTCCTCCTCTGTGGCCTCTGGAAAGGCTGGTGGGAGGGACAGACCTGTATCAGCATCAGGTGGGGCCTGGAGGGCATCGAGGGGTCCCCACTGCTGACCCAGGACCTCTGTTCCTATAAGCCCCGCCCCTAGTCTTGGAGCCTGGCAACTTAGGGGTCACATGTCTGTCCTCACCCAGGAGGGAGCTCTCATCCTTGAGGAAGGGGCCCCCAAACATGAAGGCCAACTCAGCCCCATGGTCAGCTCTCACCCAGTCTGGCTTGATTTTCACAAAAGAACTGGGTCGATGATGGAACTCATAGAAAAAGATGGGGACCCCAAAATTTGCAAAGAAGAAGGCAGGATCAGAGTTAGGTGCCCACAGCATAATCGGGCCAATCAAGACAGGCCAGATAGGACAGGCCCATAGTACCAACACCAATAATGATGATGATGATAGTGACCAAATGATTAGCAGCGAACATTTATTGAGCACTCACTAGGTGTTAGGCACTGTGCTATGTGCTTTATGTGGATAATCTATTTAATGCTCATAACAGTCTCATAGCTTAGATTCTGTTATTATCCCCATCTGACAAATGAAGAAACTGAGGCCCAGAGGGGTTAGGTATCTTGCCCAAACCACACAGTTAGGAACTTGAGCTATTCTAGGGCTGTCAGGGATTATTCACCAGGCTGGGAGGAAGCACGACTTCTCCCAGGAGAAGTGCCAAAAGATGAAGGAATTGTTCATCTATGAATCCCTGGGAATTGGTGAGGGGCCTGCTAGGTGACCTGTGACAAGTCACTGTACCACTCTGAAACTTGTTTTTCTCTTCTTCAAAGTGCCCTGACACGGTCACCTCCAATACTGCAATGGTACATCCCAGTGAGGAAGCAGGGTGTTGGTGTGGGGTATCAGGCAGTATCAGGGAGACCCTCCACCCTATCACAGCCATGTCACCCGTGATACCCAGATCCTGGGCTAGAGGGGGAGGGATGGGGCAGATGGACAGGGCTAGACTCACCTCAGAGGTTTCTTGAGAAGTTCAAGGTGGGAAAGTTGAAGCAAATGTCGCTCATCAAGTCCAGAAGGGCATCGCACTTAGTCCATGGGTCTGATGTGTTGCCTAGGTATTCATCTATGACAGTGAGCCACAGCTCAGGGGGTAGGTCCTAGGGCAGGATGCCAGGCTCAGGCCTGCTCAGGTCCCATGGCTGTGACAGACTCTACCAAGAAGCCCCAAACCCTCCTGCCTGGCCTCTGGCCTTCATGTCACAGGGGGCAGCCAGCTGCCTCCCTGTTTCTCTGGAGGTTCTAGATGGAGCCTGGACAAGATGAGTTCATGTTTGGAGTCAAATCTCGGCTCTATGACCATTACTTGGGCTCTGGGGTCAGACAAAGCTGGCTCGAGCCCTGCCTTTGCGCCTTACCCCCCACCCCCCACCCCTTGAGACCTGTAAAATGAGGATAATGAAAGTTCTTGCTACAAAGGATTGCCATGAGGACTGAAGGAGATAAATGCCTGTCCTAGTGCTCAGCACAGTGACTGGCACATAGTATGTGCTCGTTAAGAGACAGCCTCTATGATGACAATGATGATGATGATAATTTTCCTTTGAGAACCACATTGACTCATGTCCAAAGGGATTCCTAGGTGGAACTAAAATTCAACAGTTGGACCAAGGATTTGGTGATAGGTGAGCAGCTGTGGATGTTGGAGGGTAGGGACAGAGACTGTGCTGGGAGGGACACCCACTGCCCTCCTCCTTCTTGCCTCTTGTCTCACCAGTACGGTCATTGTTGGCCTCAAAAAAGTCAGTATGTTCTCTTGGCTCGTCTGCTCGATCTGGTCCAGAATACCCCAGCCCTGCAGGGACACCAAGTCTCTCTCAGTGCAATCTGACGACTGTCCCCCATGCCCAGCTCCAGGCAAGTGAGCACGCACAGCCCTGTGCCCCAATTCAAGCATGGCCAAACCCTTGAGTCAACAGAACCACAAAGATAAACCTCAACCGAGTGGGGAAACAGCACTGAATACAACAGACAAGTGATTACCGTGAAGAGAGAGAGAGGATTTGTTCCACATTTTCATATAATAACATCAAGACTCCCCAAACCAAGCACGCAGGGGCTAAGGGAAAGTTGAAAACATTAAACATTTTTATATAACAGTTTTAAGAGGACAGACTCCGGAGCCTGACTGCCTTGAGTTCAAATCCCAGCTCTGACACTTACTAAGTGTTTAACCTGGGACAAGTTACTTAAACTTTCCATGCCTCAGTTTCCTAATCTGTAAAAGGGGAATGAGAATAACCTGCCTCGCAGGATTGTTGTGAGGACTAAGTGAGTGAAGACATCTGAAGGCCCTGACATAGAGTAAGCACTGTTGAAATATAAGCGATTAAAGTTAATTACATTATTACTAGGCTCTTTGTTAATTTTTGTGAGAACATGAACAGAAAATGAGCGAGCACAAAGAGTACATACTCAAAGGAAGGTGTTAATCTCCACCAGGAGTTGAAGAATTAAATGTAATCCACAGGAGTTAAAGTGGCAAAACTAAAAAAGGATGGTCTACTTAGGTGAAGGGAAGGACAACACACCGGACAGGGGAAGTCAGCACCACTGGACTAAACCAAAAGCTAAGAAGTTTCCTAAATACAGCCAAACACTTCGAGTGACAGAATAGCAGGGGCAGGGGTCTGGGGACCATGGTTTCAGCGGACATCTAGGTCAATTGGCATAACAGAGTTTATTAAGAAAATGTTCTGCATCCCATTTTGGTGAGTGGTGTCTGGAGTCTTAAAAGTTAGGGAGCAGCCATCTAAGATGCATCAGTTGGTCCCAACCCACCTGGAGCAAAGGAGAATGAAGAACACCAAAGACGCAAGGAAAATATTAGCCCAAGAGACAGAAATGGCCACATAAACCAGAGACTCCATCAGCCTGAGACCAGAAGAACTAGATGGTGCCTGACTACCACCAATGACGGCCCTAACAGGGAATACAACAGAGAGTCCCCTGATGGAGCAGGAGAAAAGTGGGGTGCAGAACTCAAATTCTAGTAAAAGACCAGACTTAATTGTCTGACTGAGACTGGAGGGACCCCAGAAGACATAGCCCTCGAACTCTCTGTTAGCCCAGAACTGAAAACATTCCCAAAGCCAACTCTTCAAACATAGATTAGACTGGACTATAAGACATAAAATGATACTTATGAAGAGGGTGCTTCCTAGCTGAAGTAGATACATGAGACTAAATGGGTTGCTCCTGTCCGGAGGCGAGATGAGAAGGCAAAAAGGCACAGGAGCTGGTTGAATGGACATGGGAAATCCAGGGAGAAAAGAAGGAGTGTGCTGTCGCATTATAGGAAGAGCAACTAGGGTCACATAACAATGTGTGTATAAATTTTTGTATGAGAAACTAACTCGAACTGTAAACTTTCTCTTAAAGCACAATTTAAAAAAAAATGATGGTCCACAAGATCAATATACAAGCATCAATTGTGTTTCTATACACAATAGCCAAAAAGTGGATCCGCTAATGAATGGATAAGCAAAATGTGGTATATCCATGCAATGGAATATTATCTAGCTATAAAAAGGAATGGAATACTAATATATGCTACAACATAAATGAACGTTGAAAATACCTTGTCAGGTGAAAGAAGTCAGACACAGAAAGCTACATATTGTATGATTTCATTCATATGAAATGTTGAGAATAGACAAATCCATAGAGAGAGAAAGTAGATTAGTGGAACTCAGGGGCTAGGAAGAGGGAGGAAAAGGGAGTGAATGCTAATGGGTACATGGCTTCTTTCTGTGGTGATAAAAATATTCTGGAATTAGATAGTGATTAATAGGAGGCGTAGGCAGTTTGAGATTGGCTGCTAACCTAAAGATTGGCAGTTCGAACCCACCCAGAAGTTCCGTGGAAGAAAGGCCTGGTGAACTGCTTCCATAAAGACTGTAGCCAAGAAAACTCTATTGAACAGTTCTACTCTGTAATACTTGGGGTGACCATGAGTCGAGGGCTGACTCGACAGCAGCTAAAAACAATAAAAATAGTTGCACAACTTTGTGAATATACTAAAAAAGCACTAAATCGTACACTTTAAAAGTGTGTATTTTATGGTATGTGAATTATATCTTAATAAAACTGATATCTAAAAAAAGATGGTTTACAAATGCTGATAAGATTGTATTGAAATCTGTAGACTTATGTTGCTGGCAGTAGTTAAGTGGGCACAGCATTTTCAGAACATGCTAAGGTCACATATGAGCAGTGGAGAGGTCTCCATAAGGAGTATGAGTTACTTGCCATGGCAAAAACTTCCACCACAGGTATTTAGCAAACTCAACATCTAATACCAAAAACCAAACCTGTTGCTGTCGAGTTGATTCTGATTCATAGAGACTGTGTAGGATAGAGTAGAACTGCCCATAGGGTTTCCAAGGCTGTGAGTCTTTACTTTCTCCTGCAGAGCAGCTGGTGGGTTCAAACTGCCGACCTTTTGGTTAGCTACCAAGTGTTTTATCCACTGTACTATCAGGGCTCTTTACTCAGCATCTAGTTGGCTAAAAGTGTAAAGATGTGCTCATGTGGATAGCAAGGAGAGTGCAGGGCACGCCAGCACCAGTGTTGAGGCAAGCAGTCCTCTGAGCCTCTCAATTCCTGGGAAACATCCTTGGCTACAAGTCCTAGGCACCTTCCCCCCCCCCCCCGGTATTTTTGTTTTTATTTTAAAAAGTTCACACAGCTTCCCCACCTCTATCACAGCACTTATTTTGGTGACTCCATCCCTAAGCCCCCTGAGTGACAGGTCAGATGGTCAGGACAGGAGGCAGCCATAGCTTCCCACCCACCCCTTTTGGCCCCACCAGTAGAGCTGGGCCAGCACACTCTCGTCCCAGGCCGAGGCCAACTCTGACCGATGGTGGCTGCAGTGGGGCAACTGGAGGGGACATGCGCAGATGGAGGATTGTGGCAGGAACAGGGCTAGGAAGCACCTGTGCCCTAGTGGCACTGATAAGGAACCAGGAAGCAGGACAGATGGAGCAGGTGTGGCAGGGTGTCTACATGTCAAACATGTGATGGATGGGCCTGGGGAGCTCCATGCCAGGCTAGGGCAGGGCCATGCCCATTTGTCACAGCTTGAGGTGACCCTGTGCCCAGCTCCAGGAGCCACGGCCTCCAGGCCCATCTGTATGTGCAGAGCAGGATGGGAGGGAGTTGCACCCACCTCCCTCCCATCCCCAAAATAATGTATATATATGTATGTTGATATATAATATAGAGGTACGTACACCTGTACAGAAAATTTTTGCAAGGAGAGTGCAGGGAACACCGGCACCAGTGTTGAGGCAAGCAGTCCTCTGAGCCACCCAATTCCTGAGAAACATCCTTGGTTATAAGTCCTGAGCACAGCATTCCACACCAGGAAGGTTTTCCCAGGTCTGGAGAGCCAGCCACAATGGCTCTCCCTCACTTCCACTGGCAGCTCTAACAGTGTGGAGCAAGGTGCCTGCCAGAGTGTCTGGGGCATCGTTTTGCCCTAATATATCTCTGCCACTAAGCATGCACACATACACACACACCTGACCTAGAAACTTCTTCATCTGTGAGTGTCAAGATTGTAGTCTCTCTACAGCAAGCATCCGGATGCCCTCCTGGGGATTGATTCCAAAAGAATAAGTCACAGAGGACAAAAACTGTGGACATGAAGATGTCCACTGCACTGTTAGCTTCAGTGCTAAAAACTAGAAGCTGCCATAATGCCCCCTGATGAAGGAACATTGTGATCGGACCCTCCCTTTGTGGAAGGGCCTGCAGTCATTAAAGGTGATCACTGATCGCTATGGGCAGAAGCAGCAGAAGGTGATGACGGAGTGCTCAGGAGGAAAGCATTATTGTGACATTCAGTGTGGATTGACCTGTGCACCTGGCAGGGACTGGAAGGTGCTTGAGTCGTGTGGTCCCCCAGTGACCTTGATGTCTTAATCCTGAGAGGCATTTTGTCTCTCAGGCACAGAGTCACACTAACCAGCTTCATAGAGCCTGATGTATAAACCAGATACCAAGGCTGGAATATGCTGCAGACGAGCACTGCCTGGAAGGCTGCCTTGTGCAAAAGCTTGGTCCCCAAGAAGGAAGAACTTGCTTTGTGAAAATGAAGCCCTAGCTGGGTAATCTTGAGCAAGTCCCTTAAACCTCCCTGAGTCTTGGCTTTTGACTTTCTCAACTATCAAATGGGGATAACAGAGTGCCCAGTTTACAGGTTGTGGTGATGATATTGGGGTGACAGACGACTGACCAAGGCAGGGTCTTGAAGGGCACAGGGGCCAGAGGACATTCATCTGGGGGATGACCCAGCTCATCTCGTGATTGGTGATGCCCACAAGGAAGGGCACAGGGTGGAACTGCCTCTCTTTCAAGAGCTCTTGGGGGCTCTTGGGAAAGAAGGTGCTATCAGTGGTATAGAGCATGATTTTAATTTTCTGCAGGAGAAAGCAAGGCAGGGGGCCACCCAGTCAGGCCCAAGCCTCAAAGGATGGGACTCCAGGGGCCACCTGGCTGCATGCCTGAGCTGCTGAGAGAGAACATGAGTGGATGCAGTCCACCAGGGTTAGGGGGCCCAGGCGGCATCGGGAGAGCAGGCAACTGGTGCTTGCAAATAGACCTCTTCTCTAGAAAACAGGCCCTGCTCTCAGGGCTGGGCATGGCCCTCCATTTAGGCCTCAGGACTAGCTGGGCTCTCAGCTCCTTCCCCTCACTCCAGACCCCTGACTGCCCCTCTGCACCCATAGGAGCTAGACAGGACCCCCCTCTGTGCCATTGCCAACCACTGTCCCCAAAGAGGCAGGCACACCTGGCGGGACTCCTTGGTAAGGATCATCTCTTCACCTGTCTTCTGTCGAAGGCACTGCAGCATCTCAGCTGTGGAGTTGGAGCTGCAGGCCAAGGAGTCTGCGAAGTCCTGGGGACAGCCAAAAGCATCTTGCCTCCTTTGTGGCCATCCCCCCCTCCCCACCTCCCACCCTCTGGCTCCCACAGAGAGGGGCGCATCTGTAGGTGAGCTGGGATGCTGATGCCAAAGATCACTGCCCACCAGCGTGGGTGGTCCCCAGCCACTTTGTGTGTCCCCCATTATGTTGTGCTGTCATTATCTGTGTGTGTGACCAGATCCCCTTTGCCCCTCTGAGAACAGTGTCATCATCTAGTTAACTGTGTCCCCAGAGCCAGAGGCATCAGTAAAGTTTTGCAGAGTAAACAAGGAAATGAGATTGGACTTGAAGAGGGAGGGACTCCAGCAGCATGGGCCAAGGTCTGGGGGAGATGGTGGTGATACTGAAGTTGGGGCAAGGTCAAGGGTCAGGGAGCTGGGGGGAGGTGAGGCTGGAGGGTAGCTTCAGGCCAACTCATAGGCCATGAAAGCCAGGCTGGGGGATGTGGCCACTGGCAGGAACTCTGGGAGTATTTGGTAAAGGAGTGAATGGTTGAGCTGTGTTTTCCTTAGGACATGGAGAGCCAGGGAAGGACCTAAAGTCTGCGGATGGGAAAACCCTCTCAGCCATGGTGAGGGGATATTTGGGGAAGCTGGGAGGCTGATGCTGTTTTCCAGACAAGAGGCAATTTGCCCATGCTGAGGCCTCGTGTTCCTGAATCACCTTGCACCCAGGGGATAAAGATGCCCAGCCCATTCCTCCACCTTGGCTGAGGTCTCGGGCCAGGTGAGGGCACTGAGGCCATGAGAGCCAGTCTCCCAAATCCCGCTTACCACCACCCCCTTTGCCTCAGCCCATGGCACTACTCCCACCCCATCCGCTTTTCTCTTGCCTGAACTCTGCCTCTTCCCTGGCTTTGAGGCCTCTAGCATTGCTCCCTCCAAGGCACCTTCCACTCCAAGGCCCCGGTGAGCTTCTGAGAAGTTAGCTCAGACAGACCATCGCCCTGCCTCTCCTTGCCCTCCAGAGAAAGTCCAGATTCCCAGGCAAGGCACACCACGTCCCTGAAATCCCCCCTACTTTTCCAGCCCCTTCACTTCCTGCTCTGTCCCCTAGCAAGCTCCATTCCCTCCTAGATGGCTTGCTGCTTCCAGGACCTGTCACCTTGTCTCACATCTCCAGACTTTGCAGAGGCCGTTTACAACCAGAGGCCCTTTGTGCCCCACCCCTCCCCCACCCCCACGTCTACCCTTCCAAGGCCTTACAATGGGGTTCTAGACTGGGGCTCGAGAATGTGAATGGAGATCTCTCAGGCAGCAGGGTGGCTGGGGCCTCCTCCCTCAAGCTGCCTGGGGCAGAGAAGGCTGCTCCCTGAGGCCCCACCTTGGGGAAGATGGTGCTCAGTGGTGGCCTCCTCCAGGAAGCCATCCCTAGCTGCTCCTCACCCCTGCTCTCCGCCACCCCCACACACACTGGTTGTTTCATCTGAGCTCTCAAAGTCCCATAGTGGGTATGTTTCCTTCATCCTAGTGGGTCTGTCTCTGTTAACAGGGAGTCCCTCAGGGACCCCAGGGCGAGCACAGGGTGGAATGGGATGGGTACTGGCAGGGTGAGAGAGCAAAGAAGACTCAGACCTGAGCCAGGGACAATGAGTCAGAATCCAGGATTCCTGGGAATGTGATGATTCCACTCTGTGCTATGGCTCTGTGGAAAAGCCCCGCAGCCAACAGGGACAGAACCTGGTGCAGCAGAGAGAATAGACACTGTTAGAGGAGGGCAGGGAAGCTGGGAAGTCTGGGGCCATAGGAGCCCTCCCAGCCACCCACCACGAGCCCTGAGTGTGGACTCACCAGAGCAGAAACAATGAGGCTACCTGCAGACTCCCCAAAGACGGTGATACAGTTGGGGTTGCCCCCGAAAGGGGTGATGTTTCCCTGCACCCAGTGCAGAGCAGCCACCACATCTAGGAAAGCCCAGTTGCCTGGCCCATGCCTGGCCCCAGTGCTGCCAGCAAGGTAGGGGAATGATTAGCACAGGCTAATGCCTCTGGCAGATTCTCTTCTGCGTTTGCAGGTTTGCTTTGGACCAGCCACCAGGATGTTGGACTCTCTTCTGCTCGCACAGTCTGGCCTGGCTGTGAGCCATGCTAGGTGTACACATGCCAGGCAAGTCGTGTGGGCAGGCCCAGCTGGGCAGCTAGCCAAGGCTGCTCTCAAGTGTCTGCCAGAGCCTACTGCTGTCTATCTTCACACCACACTGTGACCCTGACTCCAGTTCAGGAGCCAACACCCTTTGCCCAAGGGACCAAGTTCATTATCAACTCTGGTTTTGGCTGGGCTCCTTCACCAGGATGTGGCTTCAGAGAACACCCTTCTGCCCAGGCAGCATGAGGGAGAGGGCCCTAGGACCCAGCCACCCTCCCTGCCTGAGAGATCCCCATTCAGGCTCTGGGCCCCCACCCTAGATCCTTGAGGCCTCTGTGATCCAGCTTCTCCTCTGTGGAGTCCATGCCCTACTCCAGGCCTGCCGTCTCACCTGAGGTACTGGATTGTGACCACTACTACATCCCCAAAGGCAGCCAGGGCTGACCCGTCCTGGGAAGTGGCTGCACCAACCATCATCGAGCCCCCATGCATCCACACCATGACCTGCAGAGATGGCCATGGGACTGTGACCCCAGATCCTAGGACTCTAGCTGCCCATCCACCAGCCCAGGGCATTGTCAGGAGCTCTGGGTCAGGTTGGGAACAGGGATGGAGAGGGGACAGGCTGGGCAGGATAGAGCTGGGTGGGTTGACAGGGCCCTCTGGGCTTCGCAGCGGCCTCCCAGCCCCTGTTGTGGCCCCAGCTGGGCTGTAGATGTTGAGGATCAGGCAGTCCTCTGAAATAGAGAAAACCCTCAAATCCCATTCAGCAGAAACCTGAAGTTGTTCATTCTCTTCACTTCCTGCAGGCACCTGCCATTAGACTATGAACCCAAGGGCCAGCCAGTCAGCCCCTCCAGCCCCAGCAGCTGGACTCCTGCCAACCGGCCTGCTTGCCCACTCCTGCCAGGTTACTCACATTGGGGGGGCTGTGCTGGCATCCCGCACACGCTCCCAGGACTGTGCTGGGCACGGGGCTGAGAACTGGCCGGGCCCTTGTGGTGCCTGGGCAAACGGGATGCCCAGAAAGACATTCACACGGCGGTCTGTGCCCTTCACGCCCACCTGCAGGCCTCACACACGACCCAGGGCAGTGTCCACTTCAGGATGAGCAACTCCAGGTTCTGAGGGCAGAGCAGAGGGGCCAGGGGTAAGTCTGCAGCTTCCATGGTTGGGGAGGGGTGGCAGATGGACTCACACAGTGAAGGATGCTTTTAGACTCACTCAGTACTCACTCTCTGAGTGCCTATTGTGTCAGGCCCTATTCTATTCCTGCCCAGCAGCCCTATGAGATGAGTCCCATGATTACCCTGGACTCCTTCCTCGCTGGCTTGCCATCACTGCCACTCCCCTGCAGCCAAACTTAGGACCAAAGTGAAGGAACCAGACTCTCCTGGAACCCATGGACCTGCTGTGTGGCCTTGGGCCAGCCACTGTCCCTCTCTGAACCTCAGATTACTCATCTGCTAGATAGGTACAATCCTGGCAGGGCTGCTCTGGGGATCAAACAAGGTGGCAAGGGCAAAGCCCCCACCCAGAGGATGCACCACCCCTGGCATCCCTCCGAACTGAGGAGCCCTTCCCTGAGTAGGCTGCCCACCCCTCCCTACCACTCTCCTGCCCCTCTCCCCAAGTCCTCCCACCAACCAGAAGCTCCCAGCCTGCAGGCCCGGCAGGTGTGTCTTACCAGCAGCCATGGCAGGAAATGCCAGGAGTAGACAGGCTGCCCAGATCTGGACCTTGGTCCCAACTCTTACCATTGTCCCCATGTTCCTCGCTCCTAGCTAGCTGTAAGCAGAAGTGGCAGGTGGAGTGAGATCTCTGCCCTTCAGCCCCACTGAGCTCTAGAGGGAAATGATGTGAAAGCCTGGTCCGCCTACCTGGCTAGAGGCCAGCCCCAGGGCCCACCTCCTCTGCCAGACTGACTCCGGAGGGAGGCGGGAGCTGGGAGTGCCCTGCAGAGGCCTGGATGATGTAACAGCCCATGTACAAGAAGAAGCCTGGCCTTTGGAGTGCTATAGCCCCGGGTTCAAATCCCAGCTGTTCTCATGACTTCCATGAGACTGTTTACACTCACCACAAGATGCCCATATCACAGACCTGAGCCAGGGGTGGCCAATAACCCTGGGGTGCCGCTCTGAGTGAGTCAACAGGCCTGGGGTGGGGGTGCCTGAGCCCCCATGCAAGGGGAGGGGAACTGAAAATGATGCTGTTAGAGAGGCTCAGGGCTTTGGGCCGGAGCAGCTCCGCAACAGGGCTCTGGGACCAAGGATACTCAGGCTGTATGTTGGGGGTGACTGGGCACCCCATTTCCTTGAGGGACCCTCAAGTGATGGGCCAGAAGCAGGGCACTGTCCTCTAGTGGCCCTAAGATCTCCTGGTGTTGTCAGGTGGAAACCCCAGGTTCTCCTTGGCATGACTCGTCTCAGCCAATAAACGAGAGACCGAGGTGGTGGAGTGGAAAAAACAAAAAAAACAGGGCTTCCTGGCAACATGGCACTATAGTCAGAAGCACCACGCTGTCCCTCCGCAGCAAAGATCAGAAAAACAAAGTCAAACAGAGTCACATGTCAATCCTGAAACCCTAAGCATCAAATGAAGAGATGAAGAACTCAGCCAAGCACTGAATGGAATAAGAAGCTGACCAAGAACAGAGAGCAAGGAGAGATACATGCAGAGGTCCCTATCAGCTACTGCAGCACAGATCCGCCATCTTGGACTCCTATCGGAGATCAGTGAACAGGGGGTATGAGAAAGCAGCTTCATGGCGCCTCCAGCAGGAGACAGAACAACCGGTAACCAGCAATATATGCTTTCCCACCCCCCACCCTTCTTCACTCCCACTTAGCTGCCTCTGCTTCCTGCAACCACAGTCTCTTGGCCAGGAAGCAACAACTGTGTCACTTGGATTCCACCCACCCGCCCTGGCCAGCTCCCTGAGTGCCTTTTGTTTGTTGCTGGTGTTGCTTTTTTCCGCTTCTCTAGATTTCTTCCTAACCTCTCACCGCTTCCCCCTCCCTTCTCTCAAATATGAGGCTCCGTGCGCCATCTTTGCTTCTTCCTGAAAGGCTGCAAAACACTGCTCGTCTGTGAAACTGCTTCCTGGCCCGTGCCGCCACACTGGTGGGACACCCAGGGCTTTTTTGCATGTTTGTTTGTTTGCTCTGATTCATTCTGTCTTGATTTGTTTGTTTGTTTTCTTTTTGTTTTCTCTGATTGGGAGCCCTTCTAGCCGGGCAGTACTACGCAGCTTGGAAGCTACTCCCTTACTCTGCACAGATGCACAGGGACGTCCCTGGGGACATTTCTTTTTTCTTGTTTTTTTGTTTGGTTTTTTTGTTTGTTTGTTTCTGGGTTTTTTTGTGTTTCTTTGTTTTGTTTTCTTCTCTCTTACTCGCTTTTTGTCTTTGTTTCCAGTTTCTCAATTAATTCATTTTTTTCTTTTATCCTTTTCCTTTTTTTTTTTTCATTTTTGTTTTTCCCCATTTTTCAGTCTCTCGTTTCTCCACTCCAATAGCAAGCTCCCTTAGCACTCTTCTTTGTTTGTGTGTATGTTTTTGGCCCCTGTTCCTCTCTCCTGTCTCTCTTCTTTCCCATACCCATCTTAGCTCCACACAT